TGTGGAGAAGCATACAGGGAGTAAAGTTATAAAAAGTCCTTAGACATAACCAAACACTTTGAGAGAATGAGATGCTGGGCCTAGGGGCTCAGAACCACAGTCTCAGGGAGCGCCAGGGTCAACTAGAATAACATAGTCCACAAAGACAATGTTCTACGTCCTACTTTGGTGGGATGAATAGCAACTGAGGTCTTAAACGTTTGTGAATGGCCATCTAAGGTGCAACTATTGGTCTCCTCCTATCCAGAGGAAAGAAGAATGATGAAAATTGAATACACATGGAAACAATTAGTCCATTGACCTAATCAGTCTCCATGACCCTGAGACTAGAAGAACTAAATGGTGCCCAGCTACCATTACCAATTGCTCTGAAAGGGATCACATTAGAAGGTCCTGGATAAAGCTGGAGAAAATATGGAACAAAATTTAAAAACATAAAAAAGACCAGGCTTATTGGTCAGATAGAGGCTGCTGGAATGTCCAAGACTATGGTCTTTAGCCACCCTTCAGATCTGGAACTGAACTCACCCCCGTGGCTCAATTTTCAGTCAAACTATAGACAGTTTCATAACTAGAATAATAACACTAATGAGGTATGCACAACTTAGATAATCAACCAATGGCGATCAAATGGATAGCATTTACCCAAGGGCAAAGTTTGGAAGAGTTAGGAAATGAGGAATGGAAACAGGAAACACAGAGGAAGCGGGATACATGATGTTACAGTGAAGGTACTGTACTCACTGATATGAACCAAAATGTATATGAATTGTTGAAACCAAAATTGATGATGTACTCTATAGACCTTCACCCAATTCACACACACACACACATAAAAATCAATTGGATTCCTAACAGAGAGAACTCTGAAAAGAAAATTGGGAAAACAATACCACTCACCTTAGCCACCCAAAAGATGAAAATTTAGGAATACAAAAGAACTCTACAAAGAAAATTATAAACCATTACTACAAGAACCCAAAAGAAACCTACATAAATGGAAGAAAATGTCATGCTCATGGATAGGAAGACTTAACAGTGTGAAAATGTCAATACTACCCAAAGAAATCTACAGATATAATGCTATTCTAATCTAGATTCCATAACCATTATTTAGAGAGACGAAAAACCAATCACCAAGATTACATGGAAAGAAAAGATACCCCAGATAAGTAAAGCATTACAAAAGAAGAACAACAAAGTACAAGGTGTCATATTTCCCAATCTCAAAGCTGACTACACAGCCATGATAGTTTAAAAAAAGAAAAAAAAGAAAAGAAAAGAAAAAAGAAAGCTGTTAGTAATACAATGAGAAGGAACTCTGGTAGCATCATAGTGGTTACAAATCAGGCAGCTAACCTCAGGGTCATCAGTTTGAAACTACCAGCTGTTCCGTGGAAGAAAGATGAGGCTTTCTGCTCCCATAAAGATATACAGCCCCAGAAACCCTGTACAAGGTCACTATGAGTCGGAACCGACTCCACGGCACATAACGACAACAGTACAATGAGAGACACGTAGACCAGTGGAGCAGAATTGAGACTCCAGAAGTAAATCTCTCCATCTATGTACAGAGTCCTGGTGTGGTGCTACGGGATAATGCGCTGGACTGCAAGATCGGTTTGAACCACAAGGTTGGCGACTCAAGCTCACAAGCCACTCCTCAGAAACCATATACAAGGTTGCTATGAGTTGGAACCAACTTGACAGCCATTAACAACAATACTAATAGGGTTTCCAAAGAGCAGCTGGTCAGTTTGAACTGCCAAGCTGTGGTTCACAGTCCAATGCTGATCCTACAGTGCCACACCAGAAGCCCTGTCCCTATATGCTGTTTTGTTGTCAAGTGGTGTTCAAACCAATTTTGCAGTCCAGCACATTAACCCACAGTATCACACCAGGACTCCATGAAAACCCTATACAGAGTCACTATGAGTCAGAACTGACTTGATGCATTTGACAGCAATAACAACAATGTATAGGCAACTAGTTTTTGACAAAGAGTTGATACTTCTTAAATAGGGAATATACAGTCTATTAAACAAATGATGCTGGCAAAACTGCATATAGATTTGCAGAAATATGAAACAGGACCTATATCTTGCACTGCATACAAAAACGAACTCAAGATGGATCAAAGACCTAAAGTAAAACCCCAAAGCTATAAAGACCATCAAAGAAAAAATAGGGACAAACTTAGTGATCCTAATACATGAATGACATAAACACACTGTCAAACATAACTAAAAACATACAAACAGCAGAAGACAAAATAGAAGACTTAGACAGCCAAAAAAGTTAGACACTAATGAGTATCAAAAGATTTCACCAAAACAGTTAAAAAATAACCCACAGTATGGAAAAAAAATTTTTGGCAATGTCATATTGGGAAAGGGACTAATCCCTAAAATTTTAAAACCTCTACAAAACATAAACAATCCAACAAAAACACAAACAATCCAATTAAAAATTGGGCAGAGGACATGAACAAACACTTCACTAAAGAAGATATTCAGACAGCCACAAAACACATGAAGAAATGCTCGTGATCATTAGCCATTACCTACCCAAAACCAATGATAGTGTTGACTCTGACTCATAGTGACCCTATACAGAGTTTCCAAGACTTTAAACCTTAACAAGAATAGTCAGACTCATCTTTCTACCATGGAGTGGCTGGTGAGTTTGAACTGCCAACTGTATGGTTGCAGCAGATATAAATCAAAACACCAATGAAATGTCATCTCACTCCATCATTGATGGCAAAGTTAAAAAAAAACAAAAACAACAAATGCTGGCAAGACTATGAAGAGACTGGAACCCTCATATGCTGCTGGTGGGATTGTAAAATTGTACAACCACTTTGGAAAACAGTATAGCACTTCCTTAGAAACTTGGAAGTAGAATTACCATATGATCCAGCACTACTAAGTATATGTCCTAGAGAATTAAGAGCTGTGGAATGAATAGATAAATGCATACCCATGTTCAACAGAGCATTATTGACAATAGCAAAAAGAAGAAAACAAATGCCCATCAACAGATCAATGGGTAGACAAACTATGGCCCATTGTTGTTGCTAAGTGCCGATGAGTCAATTCCGTCCCATAGTGACCCTGTATAAGGTCTCCAAGGAGCAGCTGGTGAGCTTGAACCACCAACCTTGCAGTTCAAACGACTCTGCAGTCTGATGTACATACCATGAAATACTATGAAACATTAAAGAATAATGACAGTCTGAAACATCTCATCATACGGATGAATGTGGAGAACATTATACTTAATCAAAATATTCCTATATGGACAAACAATGCATGAGACCACTATTATAAAAAGTCAAAAGGTTTCATACAAAAAGATATGTTCTTTGAAGGTTACCAAGGATGGAGGGAGAGAGAGGACAAATCCTTAACTAGAGGGTGAACACATACCTTGGATGAAGGTCAAAGCAATATATAATAAGGGGGAGGTCAGCATAAAATGATCAAGGCAAAAGGAGACATTAGAAGGAGTACAAGAGTTAAAGGCAACAGAGTAAATGCGATCATATACGCAATCCTGCAATAATAGTAATAATCATAATTGACAAGTAGATACATAGATAAACACACATGATAAAGGAGAATGGGACTATAGGTTTGACAGAGGACATACACATTTACACATACTATAAATGCATCCATGAATGTGTTGTTTATTGCCATCGAGTCAGTTCTGACTCATAGTGACCCTGTACAGGGTTTCTGAGGAGTGGCTAGTGAGTTTGAACCGCCAACATTGCAGTTCAAACGGTTTTGCAGTCTGGTGCATTAACTCACAGCACCACAGTAGAGCATTAAAAAAAACCAAAAAACTTGTTGCCATCAAGTGGATCTTTAAGGGTTTGCGAGATTGCAAATATTTATAGGAGCCGATAGCTTCATCTTTCCTTTTCAGAACAGCTGGTGCATTTGAATCGACAACCTTATAGTAGAGTATCCAGCAGGTAAGGTTATGAGAACTTCTTAGCCATAACCAAACACCTTAAGGAAATGAGTCACTGCGCCTGGGGACTCATGACCAAAGTATCAGGGAATATCAAAGGTCAACTGGCATAACATAATCCACAAAGAAAATGTTCTACATTCAACTTTGGTGAGTAGCAACTGGGGTCTTAAAGTCTTATGAGTGACCACCTAAGGTGCAACTATTGGTCTTTCCCTGTCCAATGCAAAAAAGAGTGAAGAAAAGCAAAGACACATGGAAACAATTAGTGCAAAGGACTAATGGACCATTCGAACCTCAGCCTTCATGAATCTGAGACCAGAAGAAGCTAGATGGTGCTTTCCTACTTACTGCCAACTATTCTGAAAGGGATCACATTTAGAAGTCCTGGATAGAGTGGGAGGAAAAAGTAGAACAAAATTCAAAATCATAAAAATGACCAGGATTACCCTTGAGACTATGGCTCTTAGTCACTCTTCAGGCTGCAACTGATCTCAATCTTGTGACTCATTTTTCAGCCAAACAATAGACAGGTCTATAAAGGGAACAATAACACCAGGGAGGTATGCATCCCTTAGAATAATCAAACATTGGAAATCAAAAGGGCAGTATTCACCCAAGAACAAAATTCAGAAAGCAGGCAGAGTTAAGAAGGAAGGAGGAATGGAAACACAAGGGAGGAAGTAGGATAAAATTCCCCATTATGGGGATTGCAATCAAAAACATGAAACAGAATGTGTATGAATCGTTGAATAGGAATCAGATTTTCTCTGTAAATTGGCACCCAAGTCACAATAAAAAGCAAAACAAAAGACAAATAATGGGCAAAAATTAGCTAAGCATGAAATAACAAATGAATCAATTTTTCCAATTTTCAGTAACTACTACAAACAAAATACATTAAAAGATGGTTAAAAGCAAAATACTTGTCTAAACCTATACATTACAGGGGAACACTTCACTGTTTGCATTTAGAAATATCACACTTAAATCCTATTTTCAGTGATATCAGTTACCTTAATGAATTCAATGTAGTCTTGATAAGTGCCTGTAGGAGGTGCAAAATAGTTTCCACTAGGAGAAAATTTATAATGAGGATTTTCAACTACACTTGTATTATAAAAGTCAGCCAGCATGGTTAACAAGAGACGTCTGTCCCAATCATCTGTCACTCGTCCTCCATAGTTGCATTCCCCAGTCAAGTAAGAGATCGCTTCAAATGGAACTGTGTCATATTCATTTATAAATAACTGAAAAAAAGGGAAAATTAAAAAGGAAAACCTTAAACAAAATAGTCTTTTGTTTCATTTTAAGATGATATTAAATATGCCTGCATGTATGTATATGGTAGCACTGTGGATTAATGCACTGGACTGCAAACCTCAAGGTCGGTGGTTCAAGCTTACCAGCTGTTCCTCAGAAACCCTATACAGGGTCGCTCTGGGTAAGAATCAACTCAAGGGCACTCAACAACAACAAATGTATATACATACAGGCATTCCCTTGGTGATGCAAATGGTTAATGTATTTGTCTGCTAACCAAGTTGGAAGTTGGAGTCCACCTAGAGATGCCTTGGAAAAAGGTCTGTTTATCTTCTTCTGAGAAAGTAACCACTGAAAATCCTATGAAGTTCTATTCTGTAACACATGGGATTACCATGAGTGAGAATCTGCTCAACAAAAACCCACAAGAATAAGCATGAAAAGGGGTTGAAAGGATGATCATCATAGATCTTTGGGTGGCTAGGATTGTTGGTATTTTATTTTTTTAATTATTTTGCTGATCTGTATCTCCTGACTTTTTCATTTCTAATATAAATATGTATTGCTCTTGTAATGCAGGCTTCTGTAAAAAAAAAAATTAACAACAAAAATGATGACATGAAAATTACCAAGTCTTTTTCATATGAACTTAAATAAACCTTGATTTAGGGCAGTAGTTCTTAACTGGGATAATTTTATCCTATAGTAGGTATTTGGTAATGTCTAAAGTATGAGATTCTCTGTTCCCATAAAGATTTACAGCCTCGGAAACCCTATGGTTAGTTGGTTACGTGCCGTGGAGTCAGTTTGACTCACAGTAATCCTGGATAGGGTTTCCAAGGCTGTAAATCTTTATGGGAGCAGAAAGCCTCATCTTTCTCCTAAGGAATAGCTGGTCATTTCAACCACTAGGCTACCAGAGCTCCTTTGGAAACCCTATAGAGGGTCGCTATGAGTCAGGACCCGACTCCACGGCACACCACCACAAAAACATAGTGCTATAGGATAAGCACTGGACTGAGAGGTTGGTGGCCTAAATCCCACCAGGTACTCTTCGGAAACCCTATACAGGGTTGCTATCCTGGTGTGGCGCTGTGGGTTAATTAGCCAGACTGCAAAGCCGTTTGAACTGCAAGGTCGGTGGTTCAAGCTCACCAGCTGCTCCTTTGAAATCCTATACAGACAGGGTCGCTATGGGTTGGAACTGACTCGATGGCACTTAACAATAACATGATAAGAACCGGCTCGACAGCACTTATCAACAACAATAACAAGAGTCTGAACCAACGGTAAATAGATTTACAGTTTTGGTGTCACAACTAGAGGAGGAAGAGGGAGCTACTGACATCTAGTGGCCGGGATGCTGGTACAATACACAGGTCAGGACTCTACCCTGTCCCCTATAAAGCCCAAAATATTAATAGTGGCAAGTCTAAGAAACCCTGATTAAAAACAAAAAAATTCCAAATTATAATGCTAGAACCTGTTTCACATACTGTAATCCAGTTCCACTTTTCGACAACACATAACTTTTGTAGTTGCCTGATTATTAAAAGAGCTGTAGTAATAAAAACTACTATTTGTATAGCCTTTGCATTGTTTTAGTTTTCTCTCAGCAACCCTAAAGGGTAGGAAACTGAGGTGGGAAATGTAAAGTTAACTTTTTATTCAGAGAGTTAAGTGGCAACCTCAAGGTATACATTTACGTTTTCTAGTTCCAGATCCCATATTTTCCCTCCTATACAGGAATTTTTGATAGCATACGTATTGGGGGTGATGTAAGTTACTAGCTTGAGAGATTTTCTTGCTAGTGAGGTTACTTAATAATGTAGGAATTATAATAGAAATAGGGCACAGTTGAGATAAAAGGTTTCTACATTGTCCAGAGTCAAGTTAAAAGAAGGACTAATTCTTTGAGTCTCCCGTGTTCTCAGGGACAACAGAACTATCAAAAAATGTGAACGGAGAACTGAAAGACAGGGAAGATTAACTTTTGGGGGAATGAATTGTATGCAAAAAGAGGACAGGTTCTCCCTATCCTGCCACTGGGGGATAGGGGTCCTCTCCCTTTCCCAAACCAAATGACCTCAAGAAAATTTCTTGTTAAATATGTGGCATATATGGAGCATTGTGGCTATGTAGGATAAGCACTGGATTGCTAACCACAAGATCAGCAATTCGAGCCCACCAGCCGCTTACTACCCAGGAGAAAGGTGAGGTTTTCTGCTACAATAAAGATTTATAGTCTTGGCAGTTCTATACAGGGTGGCTATGAGTTGGAACCAACTGAATGGTATTTAACAAAACAACAACACAACAAGAAATGGAGACTAATAACTTAGCCGTAAGTAAGCTGATTTGCCCTTTTGGAGAGAGGTCTCTTGCTGGTATAACTAGGTAAAGATGGTTCAAGCACAAACCTCCTCTCTAGTACCCAGTTCTTAAAAATATGAAAGATGGATCCAATCTATGCCTATAGGCTCTGTTGTTGAAGTCAGTTGAAACTGTAACTGGAAACTATAGATCTGGGCTCAGCCTGAAGATGGAGATTTTCCAGTTGACTGGTTATATATAGCATAGTTTTTGTAAGATGTTCTCCAAACTTACGCTGTCCCCACTAATTGGTTTTGAAGAACAGTGTTTATAATCAGTGTAGCTTTATCATCTAATTATAATTCCATGAACATCAATTTCAATAATTTCTACAAGATCTGCTTTTTAAAAATTAAACTTGATAAAATGACAGTCATTACTATAATAATCGACTGTTACAATTTACGATTTTAGAGTTAGGTTGTGGAGCCTTGGTGTGGTGTTGTAGGATATCGCAGGACTGCTGGCTACAATGTCAGCGGTTAAAACCCACCACGTGCTCCTCACTGACTCGAAGGCACTTAACACTAACAACATTGCAGTTTTTAGTTGATGTTGATTCCATTTTGAATCATGGCAACCCCACATGTGCTGAGTAAAATTGCTCCACAACATTTTTGTTGTTTTATTATTTTATGCATATTTGGTGAAAATATACACAGCAAAAAAATACTCCGATTCAAAAATTTCTCTATATAAAATTCAGTGATACTAGTTAAATGGTTTACACTGTGTCAACATTCTCATTACTTCTGTCTTAGTACTTACAGTCCATTAACTTTAGTCTCACTGTCCCCCAAATTTCTAATCCTGGCTTTAGAGTAACTGCTGTTCATTTGGACTCATAAAGATGATTTCTTTTTAAAAGAATATAGTACTCAAGGGTGACATTCTTTACTTTTGAAGGGGTCCTGATGTAGTGCTGTGGGTTAATATACTGGACTGAAAGATCACTTTGAACTGCAAGGTTGGCAGTTCAAGCTCACCAACCACTCCTCGGGAACCCTTTGGTCATTATGGGTCAGAACCAACTTGATGGCACTTAACAATGACAACAACTATTTAGTTTAAAAGTGACTTTAGGGGATAGTTCCACCTCAAGGTTTAAAGAGTATCTCTCAAGGCAATATAATATCTCAGGGACTGCTCCAGCCTCAGTGGATCCAGTAATCCACAGAGTTTTCAAGGCTGTGCCTTTTGGAAGCAGATCTCCAGGCCAGAGTTCTGAGCCATGTCTGGGTGGAGTAGAACTGTCTATCATTCATATAGTAGTTTAACAATGAAATGGTAGCATCATCCAGAGACTCCTAAAGTTTGGTATAAATATGATTACATGCAAGAGGGTTCCAAAAAGTTCATGGAAAAATTCTATTTTCCTTTCATTTCCATTTTTCCACGCAGTTTTTGAAGTCCCTCTTGTATTTATGCTGTTGAGTCTGTTCTCACTTATAATGACCATGTATAGGGTTTCTAATGAGTGGCTGGTGGGTATGCAGCACTGACCTTGGGTTCAAACTGACCTTGCAGTCCAGTGATTATCCTACAGTGCCCCATCAGGACACTTGTATTTATGGTGGTGGTGGTGGTGTGCCGTGGAGTCAGTTCCGACTCACAGCAACCCTGTATAGAGTTTCCAAGGTTGTAAATCTTTACGGGAGCAGAAAGCCTCATCTTTCTCCTGAGGGACAGGTGGCAGTTGTAAATGCTGACTTTGAGATGAGCAGCCTGACTCGTAACCACTACGCTACCAGAGCTCCTCTTGTATTTATCTATAGACTTACAAAACCTTCTTCATTGGAATCTAATAGCACCTAATTTGGCTCTACCAACACTGCTTTCTTCCTTTTCTGAGGTCTCATTTCATAAAGGCCCTTAGTCACAGCAAAGAAACAGAAACAATTTTTTGTAGTTGTCTAGTTGTATTAGGAGCTCTGGTAACGTAGTGGTTACGAATCGGGTTGCGAACCGCAAGGTCAGCAGTTCGAAACTACTAGCTGTTCCGGGGGAGAAAGATGAGGATTTCTGCTCCCGTAAAGATTTACAGCCTCAGAAACCCTGTTCAGGGTCGCTATGGGTCAGAACCGACTCGACGGCACTTATCAACAATAGTTGTATTAATATCATTGGTAAAATAGGACAGAAGTAATAGAAAGATATTTGAGTTTGAAAGATCAAAATTAAAATTCTAGCTCAAAGGCAAGTCCATTTATGAGCTTTGTTTTTCTCAAAAAATATGGATAACAACCACCTTACAGGGTTGCCATTAGGATCAGAACCCAGTTCAATGTCTGAGTTAATAGAAATTTATTTGTTGCTGCTGCTGGATGTCATCAAGTCAATTCCAATTCATGGCAACCTCATGTGTGAAGAGTAGAACTACATTCCATGGACATTTGTTCTTTTTCTTTTTGAGGTGGGATAGCAACAAGAAGGTTGTTGATCACCTGAATGTCTCATATTGTGAGTCTACAGAAGCTGGAAAATCCAGTCAGTCACTTTCCCAGCCTCCCCTACAACTAAAGCCTAGGTCTGTGACATGGACTTGGTTGCTCAGATGCATCCATCTAGGGACTGGTGTGCAAAGAAGCAGAAAAAGCAAAGAATGTATGGTCATGGTACCCGACGCTGTGTGGAAGCTACATAAGCTGCAGCATCTAATGTTTAACAAGGGTAGTGGTGCGGTTCTCCCCAGACGGCACGTGATTCTAGATAGGACTATGAATACCGTGCCTCTGAGTCTAGCTTTCCCGCTGCTTTGGTGGTTCTGTGAGCTACTCAATATTCTTTCAGTCAGTTATTTTTTTTGCTTAAATCAGCTTATTTTTGTTGACTGATAAAGCTAAATTGTAGAGCTGACTGAGTGGAGGAGAAGAAAAAAGGATAAAAGGAGTTCTATAAAGCTAACACTAAGGATGGTGCTACAAAAGGACAGAAAGAACGAGGGTCCTTGATAAAAACGCTGTTGTGTTGCTGAATCAACAGTCCTAGAATCTTTATCTACATCTCTTTTTAATGTGAAAGAATGTTTCATTGTAATTTAAAACAGATTTAAGTAAGTTTTCCGATTACTTGCTGCAGAAAGAATCCAAATGGTGATATAAATAGTGCATTATAAACCACAGCCGTAAATATTACTATGATATACCCAACCCATCATGGTGTTAGAAGAACTGACTAAACTATCCAAAGCAAAGGAACTTGCATAGGGCATGGAACATAGAGATGGTATAAATGTTAGTCCATTTCCCATTTTACCTGTAGTTGTCGGATACTGATGCGTAAGTCAGATTCATTAAATCCATACGGAATATTCCAACCAAGAGGACCAAATTTCTTTCTCTCTTGCACAAGGGCATGAAAAAAACAAACTCCAAACAGCAACTTCTCCCATGCCTTTAAAATTATACAACAACAACAAAAAAATTTGAGTGGATTAGATGATCACGTTCATTATAAGTTTCTATGCTTGTGTATCTCTGCAAAAAAGATATACTATTTAAAATAATACTGAGTATAAAAAGTAATTAATCTCTTATTCTGTAGGCTTAATTAAAACCTTCAAAGCTAGAAAAACCACAATAATATTAAATCCTATTAAAATGCAGTAACTTTATTATTTTACCAAAGTACATGCGAATAATACTTAGGTATTATTCACAGATATTTCTGATTTTAATCCTCAGATGTTATTCTGTAGACTCACTGGCATATGCTTGAGAATGTAAGTGCAGCAGACCATTAACAATTGTAATGTGAACAAATCCCAATATAAAATTCCCTACTTTGTGACTTTGCATTTAGAGATAATTTTTTAAAAACATTGTTTATATAATCTGTCCATATGTATGACATATATGCTGTGATGGATCATGGTCCTCTCCCTAAATCTATGTTGTTGCGCTGGATAATGCTCACCAGCTCTGTGAGGTCCCCGCAAGTAAATTTCAAGTATACTACATAAAGGTATTTTAAGTTGACCATCCCAAACATCACCCCAAATCCAATAAATAACTGCCCTGCTATTTACATATGAAGTATTTACATGTGTAGCAGAAATGCTTTATATAATATTACAATGCAAGTGTACCATGCTTTTCTCAACAGCTGTGTCTTGAAATGTACATAAATCAAAACATTTTAAATACACTGGATTAATTCTGTGCTGAAACATTTAATAAGGAGAAAACTCTTAAACAACAAGAAAACTTAATTTATACACATTTCTCACATGTTTCCACATAATGGGTTTTCTTACAGCAAGAATTGTTTCTAAATGCTTTGAAAAACTGAATGGTTGTGTTTATTTCAGTGTTTAGTCCTTTATGTAGATTGGGCTCCTCTAAAAGCCTAACCTGAGAGGAGGATTAGGGTGTATGTGGGTTGATTTGGAAGGTAATCCCAGGAAGTGAGAAGGAAGTTGTTAGGAAAGAGACAGGGGAAGAGGAAAAATCAACATAAGGGTGAGCTATTGCAGCTGTTGCTTGACGAAGTTGACTTGATTCTGCTGGGACAAGTGTTCCCTGAATGGTTGAGGGGTTCCCTAAAGATGATCTTTCCTTCACATTTCTGGTCTGAGCTTGTGCATTCTGGTCTGAGCTTGACCACACAGGTTCCTATGGCATCAGAGAAATACTGGGGGCAAAAAATAGTAAGAGGTATACTATCTTTCTACGAAGAACATTGTCAGCCTAAAATGAATCTAAGCTCACAAAGAACTATCTTCTGCAGCTATGGCTGAAATGAGATGTGGGCTGAGCTGAAGAGATGTGACAAGGAGTCTGAAAGGAGTTTACCACAATCCTTTTATCTATCTATCTATTTATATCTAGTAACCAGATATTCTAAAAAATTGTTGAACATTAAAAATATTTTCTTATGAAACAATTAAAAGCCTTTTCTTCCCAAATACTAGTTTGTTTGCTTTTTCAGTGTGTTTTCCCCCACCAATTTCTGAATTATATTTTTCAGGGTATATTTGATGACTCCTGGTGTGGCGCTATAGGATCAGCACTGGAATACCAACCACAAGGTCTGCAGTTCAAACCCACCAGCTGCTCCTCGGAACCCTATAAAGGGTCCCTATGTGTTGGAACTGACTTGGTAAGATTCCTGGTGTGGTGTAGTAGGATCAGCACTAGAGTATGAACCACAAGGTCAGCAGTTCAAACCCACCAGCTACCCCTCTGAAACCGTATACAAGGTCGCTATGAATTGAAACTGACTTGATGGTACTTAACAACAACATTTTATGAATAACCCAAGGGGGAAGGCAGCAGGATGCAGCTTTCTCTAAATAAAGATGGTATTACTGACTTGCTTTCAATAGAGAATGTATTTTCCTTTGTTTCCGGCCAGTCTCCTTAGTGGTGGTGGTTATGTACCATTGAGTGGGTTCCAACTCATAGAGTCCTATAGAGCTTCTGAGCCTGTAAATCTATACAAGAACAGAGGGATTTCACAATCTTACCCCAATATCCCATCTATCTCTATCTACTCTAATTTTTTTTATCACTTTAGCCAAGATGCGCTCCTCATTGCTCTTTCCATAACCTTATCAGAATTCTGTCCCTGTAAATGTACTTCTCATGCCTACTTCAAATGTTAACTTCCTCCATGAAGTTTTCCTCAACTAATCCAAGAGGAATGAATCACACACAGTGAGAAGAGTCAAAATGTTGTGGGTTCCATATCTAACCTAAGACACTTATGAGCTATATGGCCTTGATAATTTTCTCAATTTACCCAAGCTTCAGTTCCTTTATTTAAAAACAGTGGTATGAAAATGATACATTTATTACAGAGTTGTTGGAGGCTTATATATTTAAATTACTTGGGACCTGTTGGTCCTCCCATAGTTTATAACTCTATCATGGATAATGAGAGCAGTAGTTCCCAACCTAGTTGAATATGTGAATTTCTGTATTTATATAGTTCTTGAGCTCTACTTCAGACCTAGGGAATCAGAATCTCCAAGGCTAGGACATCTTTAATAAGCTCCTTGGGCTTATTGCCATTGTGATTGGGTTCATCCTGCACAGGGTTCCCTCAATTACAATATAAGCTCCATTGGGATAGAGTTTTTATGTTTGTTTGCTTTTTTCATGTCATTATATCTCATATATGTATATACATAATGAGATATATTGTTGTTGTTGTTAGGTGCCATCGAGTCGGTACGGACTCATAACGACCCTATGCACAGCAGAATGAAACACTGCCCAATCCTGGGCCAACCGCACAACTGTTGCCACACTTGAGCCCACTGATGCTTCCAATTTGCCAATCCATATCTCTGGGGTTCTTCCTCTTTTTCTCTGACCCTCCACCTTACCAAACATGATATTCTTCTCCAGTGACTGGTCCCTCCTGACAACATGTCCAAATTATGAGAGATGAAGTTTGGCCATCTTGGCCTCCAAGGAGCACTCTGGCTGCACTTCTTCCAATACAGATCTGTTGGTTCTTTTGGTAGCCCATGGCACTTTCAACATTCTCCTCTAATACCATAACTCAAAAGCATCAATTCTTCTATGGTCTTCCTTATTCATTGTCCGGTTTCACATGCACATGAGGTTATTGAAAATACCATGGCTTGGGTAAGGTGCACCTTAGTCCTCAAGCTGACATATTTGCTCTTCAACACTTTAAAAAGGTCTTATGCAGCAGATTTGCCCAAGGCAATACGTTGTTTAATTTCTTGACTGCTGCTTCCATGAGTGTTGATAGTTGATCCAAGAAGAATGAAGTCCTTGACAATGTCAATCTTTTCTCTGTTGATTACAATGTTGTTTATTGGTCCAGTGGTGAGGATTTTTGTTTTATTTACATTGAGATGCAATCCATACCAAAGGCTGTGGTCTTTGATATGAGATATATAATATTATATATATGTTGTTGTAAAATATATATATATATAAAACATAACAACTATATATATGTTGTTGTTATGTGCTGTGGAGTTGGTTCCGACTCATAGTGACCCTGTACAGGGTTTCCAAGACTGTAAATCTTTACAGGAGCAGAACATATTTCTCCTGCAGAACAGCTGGTAGCTTCGAACTGATGACCGTGAGATTAGCAGCCCAATTCGTAACAACTATGCTACCAGAGTGCCTATATATAATAAATAACACACACACACACACACACATATGTATGTATATTGTTCTTAAATGCAGTTGAGTTGGTTCTGATACATAGCAATCCTGTATATGGTTTCCGAGGAGCAGTTGGTGGGCAGCTGGTGGGCTTAAACTGCTGATCTTTTTTGTGGTCCAGTACTGATCCTAGAGTATACATACATACATACATACATACATACATATATATAATCTTGGAATAGATTGACCAAACAACAACCCATATCTCATATGACTTGTCTATGACTTTGTCACACTGTGGTGGCTTGTGTGTTGCTAAGATACTGGAAGCTATGCCACCAGTATTTTAAATACTAGCAGGGTCATCCATGATAGATCAGTTTCAGTAAAGCTTCCAGACTAAGGCAGACTGAAAGAAGGAGAATTAGACTATTTTTAAATGTTTAACCACTGAAGACCTTATAAATAACAGTGGAACACTGTCAGATATTCTGATATTCCGATGAAAATGTTATAAATAACAGTGGAACACTGTCAGATATTCAGATATTCCGATGAAAATGTTATAAATAGCACAAGAATACTATCAGACATTGTGCAGAAAGATGAGCCCCTCAGTTTGGAAGATACTCAAAATATGATTGGGGAACAGCAGCTGCATCAAAGTAGAGTTGACTGTGATGACATGAATGAAGTAAATCTTTTCAGACCTTCATTTCCTGACAGAGCACAACTCAAAATAATCTGATCACAAAATGCACATTGTATGAATCTAAGAAAATTGGAAGTGGTCAAAATTGAAATGGAATGCATAAAGATTGACATCCTAAAGACTAGCAAGCTGAAATGGACTTGTATTGGACATTTTGAATCTAACAATCATATGGCCTATTGTGCCAGGAAAGAAATTCAAAATAACATTTTAAGGTCTATCTTGAAATACAATGCTGTCTGTAATAGGGTGAAATCCATATGCCTACAAGGAAGACCAGTTAATACCACCATTATTCAGAATTATATAACAACTACTAAAGTCAGTAATGAAAAATCTGAAAAATTCTATAAGCTTCTTCAGTGTGAAACCGATCAAACATAAAGCCAAGATATATTGATCATTACTAGTGTCTGGAATGTGAGATTTGACACAAAGAGGAAGGGTCAGTAGCTGGAAAATATGACCTTGGTGATAGAAATGATGCTGGAGATCACATGACAGAATTTTGCAAGATCAGTGACTTCTTCATTGCAAATACCCTTTTTTTTTTTTTTTTTTGCAAATACCTTTTTTAAACAACATAAAAGATGAAAATATACATGGATCTCACCAGGTGGAATACACAGAAATCAAATTGACTACATTTGTGGGTAGAGAGGGTAGAAAACCTCAATCTTACCAGACAAAGTAAAGCCAGGGGCTATCTGTGTAATGGACCATCAAATGCTCATATGCAAGTTTAGGGCAAAGCTTAAGAAAATTAAAGCAAATCACAAAGAGTCAAAATATGACCTTGAACATATGCCACCTGAGTTAAGAGTCCATCTCAAGAACAGATTTAATGCAGTAGACACTAATGACTGAAGACAAGAAGAACTGTGGGATGACATCAAGAACATCATACAGAAAGAAAGTAAAAGGTCATTAAAAAGACAGGAAAGAAAGAAAAGACCAAAATGGAGGTCAGAAGAGACTCTGAAACTTGCTCTCCAACACAGAGATGCTAAAGCAAATGGAAGAACTGAGGAGATAAAAGAGTTGAATAGAAAATTTCAAAGGGCAGCTCAAGAAGACAAAGTCAAGTACTATAATTAAATGTGCAAAGCCCTGGAGTTAGAAAACCAATGGGAGAACAAGCTCAGCATTTCTCAAGTTGAAAGAACTAAAGAAAAAAGTCAAGCCTCAATTTGAAATATTAAAGGATTCCATGGGTAAGATATCGAATGATGCAGAAAGCATCAAAAGAAGAGGGAAGAAATACACAGAACCACTCTACCAAAAATAGTCAATGTTCAACTATCTATAGAGATAGCATATAATCAAGAATCAGTGGTACTAAAGGAAGAAGTCAAAGCTGCACTGAAAGTATTGCAGAAAAACAAGGCTTCTGGAATGATGGACTATAAATGGAAATGTTTTAACAAACTGATGCAGTACCAGAGGTGCTAACTCATCTATGCCAGGAAATTTGGAAGACAGCTACCTGGCCAATCTATTGGAAGATATCCATATTTGTGTCCACTCCAAAGAGAGGTGACCTAGTGGAATGTGGAAATCATCTAACAAAATCATTAATATCACATGCAAGTAAAATTTTGCTGAGGAAAATTAAAAAACAGCTGTAACAGTACACCAAGAAGGAACTGCCAGAAACACAAGCCAGATTCAGAAGAGAACATAGAGCTAGAGATATCATGGCTGATCAGAGATGGGTCCTGGCTGAAAGCAGAGAGTATCAGAAAGATGTTTACTTGTGCTTTATTGACTATGCAAAGGTTTTAGAGTGTGTGGATCGTGAAAAGTTATGGGTAACATTTTGAAGAATGGGTATTCCAGAACATCTGATTGTACTCATGAGTAATCAGTACATAGACAAAGTGGCAGTGGCCTAACAGAACAAGGGATTACTGAGTGGTTTAAAATCAGGAAAAGTGTATGTCAGAGTTGTATCCTTACACCATGCTTATTCAATTTGTACGGTGAGCAAATCATGGGTTACATGGAGGAGTGGCATTACAATTGGAGGCATTACAACTCATTAACTACCTGTGACATTTAAATTATACAAATTTGCTTGTTGAAAGTGAGGAGGACTTAAAATACTTATTCATGAAGATCAATGAATACAGCCTTCAGTATGCATTTCATGTCAATGTAAAGAAAACAAAAATCCTTACAACTGGACCAATAAATAACATTATGACAAACGGGGAAAATATTTAAATTGTCAAAGATTTCTTTTGTTTGGATCCATCACGGATCCCAGTAAAAGACTCATGGATCCAACATTCAAGGAAGCAGCAGTTAAGAAATCAAATGACATATTACACTGGGCAAATCTGCTGCAAAAGACCTCTTTAAAGTGTTCAGGAGCAAAAATATCAGTTTGAAGACTAAGATGTACCGTACGCAAGTCATGGTATTTTCAATGGCCTCATATGCACGTGAAAGCTTGACAATAAGGAAGACTGTAGAAGAATTGATGCATTTGAGTTGAGGTGTTACAGAATAATATTGAAGGTACTATGGACAGCCAAAAGGCTGTGTTGGAGGAAGCACAGTCAGAATGCTCTTTACAAGCAAGGATGGCAAGACTTGGTCTTTCATACTTTGGATGTATTGTCAGGAGGGACAATGAAAAAGAGGAAGTACTCCAATTAGGCGTATTGGCACAGTGGCATCAGTACCAGATCCAAGTGAACCAAAACTGTGAGGTTGGCGCAGGATTGGCAGCGTTTCATTCTGCTGTGCCATTGGGTCGCTATGATTTGAAACCGACTCCATGGCACCTAACAACAACAAGTATCTCACATATGCTTTTTTCTTTTTCATTGATCTATTACCAGTTGTTAGGAGACTGCCGTGTACCCAGTACGTGTTTAATAAACATTGAATAAATGAGTGAATGGAGATAGAAAAATGCATCCTTGCTCTTATACAGAACACAGTTGAATACAGGAGACAGATATTTAAACTGTCAAATAACTAATATCATTGCTTGTTATTGTTGTTGTTAAGTGCTACTGAGTTGGTTCTGACTTATTGTGACCCTGTAAAAGTTTTCCAAGGAGTCTGAACTGCAGTGCTTATCTAGTAGTACCACACTAGAACACTTAATATCATTGCTAGGTAACTAAAATGCCCAACAGTTTGTAATACAAAGACCAATTAATGACCTCCATTTAATGGCCAAATGATACTTGTTCAAATTATTATGGGCCCAATTGACAGAAATAGCCTTATTAATGGTCATTCCAGCTACTTCTTCTGAGAAGCTCCACGGGACTGCCTACAAATAAATCAACAGCAGAAATCATAGGGCAATGTTTCTCTAAGTGTGATTCCTGGGCAAACATCTCCTAGGAACCTGTTAAAAATATAAAATTTCAAACCCTGCCGCAGACCTACTAGTCTGAAACTGGGGATGCAAAGCAGCAATATGTGTTTTAATAACGCAATCAGGTGATTCTGAGGCACACTAAGTTTAAGAACTGTGGTCATGGGGTATTTATACTCTTCTTCTTTCCCAATTGTTTTTCACTACCAGATACGTTGCTTGGTGAATGCTTATCCATCGCCACTGGTCATCATGAAAACAGTATGTGGCAAGAATGTTGACTTTGGATGTCCCACAGATTCTTATACATGGGGATCAAGGTTATTTGCTCAATGCCGTGATACTCAGTGTTACCCGAGCCTCAAAGTAACTCTACCTGTGTTTAGAATCTTTCAAGTTCTCCTTCTGTTTCTGGCACTACCTCAAATTTCAAGAGCTCAAATCTTAGGTGCTAGATAGCAATTAAGCACCATAACACTTGCTCCATTCTACTAAGCTCTCTTTGTAGCTAAAACCACCAAACATCCCCCCTCCCCCAACTCTGGTGGAGTTACAAACAAAATTATTGTTAGAGGTTTGAGAAAGTATCATTAAGCAGAAGAAACTTAGCTGACTTACAAATAATTCAATCCTTTATTCTACCATCACATCATTCTTTTCCTAGCTCAATAAGAAAGTATGAAAATAGCATGTGTTGGGGGTAAAAGTAATGTTTCCTGGCCTTTCTCCATCCTTATATTAACTTATTGCTAGAAAGAGGAGTGATCTATATGACTGGTAAATGTAGAGAAAATTAACCAAATACGCTTAGCTCAGCTTCTCTCTGTTTTACCAGTAAGCTTCCTACAGGAAGTTGAGTTTTCCTCTGTTCCTCTGCGTGAATAAATCTAACTAATTCTGGAGTTCAGTAGTAGGAAGTCCATGCATTCACAGACATAAGGTATACCTTCTAATCTAGACTATATCAGTAATCAAAGTTATATTTGGCTTCCACATATTTGCCTATTCTTTTCTATTTCTTAAATGAATTGAATTCAGGGTTTGAACAGCAATCCAGTGCTTATCCTACAGCACCACACTAGAACACCGAATATCATTGCTTGGAAACTCAATGAAAAGAATTCAGGCAATTATAAAGTTTCTAATTTCATGTGCAAAACTGTTTTGGACGGGTATATTAAAAAACATTGATATGTTCACTTGTTACTATTAGAGCTTAAGTTCCATGAAGGAAGATCTGTGTTGCTGTTTTGACCTGTTTTGTTCCATCCTCTTTGTAGCTAATGCTTAGGAGAGTGCCAAACACACATACTTGCTAAAAGAATGAATGAATGGTATGAAAATATATTTCTATTCTTGGGTCTTAAAAAACACTGTTGGTCTTTGGTTTATAAACTAAGATTCATTCATCAAAATTTATTCAAATGTCTTATATATGGGAAGTTGTTGTTGTTGTTGTTGTTAAGTGCCGTCGAGTCGTTTTCAACCCATAGCAACCCTGAACAGGGTTTCCGAGGCTG